CAGGCCATGGCCTTTTCAAACACTTGGTATGCATCTGAGAGCTGGACAGTAATTACGGATGACCAATGAAGAACTGATGCCTTTGAGTTGTGAAGTCGAAGAAGAGCACTGAATATCTCATGGACTGCCAGAAATACAAACAGATGAGTCTTGGAAAATGTGTAGTTAGGGTCCTCTTTATAGGCAAAGATGGTGACGTTTCATCTCACATATTTTGAGCATGCTGATACAAGAGTCTAATTCCTTGGGAAGGAATATGAAGCTTGAAAAGGCTCATGATCAGCGAAAGAGAAAAAAACATGCTCAACAAGATGGATTGACATGGTGACTATAGAAAGCGTGTCAGAGACGGTGAAGATGACACAGGACAGAACAGAGTTCAGGTCTGTTATTCTTATGAGTTGTATTTGACTCATCTGCATGTAATAAGAACAACAAAACCTTGAAAGCACAACACACTATAACTAACCTAGGAAAATACCAACAGAATAAATAGCCTTCTTCAGAGTTCTTCTGGTGGTCTACTGAAACCCAAAGGCATGCAGTTTGAATCCACCAGCAACTCCAGAGGGAAAGATAGGCAATCTCTTCCTCTGTCTTTGTGTCTGAAAACCCCCCAAACAGTCAGATATGAATTCATTCCTACTGTAACAAAAATAGCATACCAATATGAGGCTTCAAAATAAGAAAAGAATAAAATGGTATATTATTATTAAAATCACTGGAACTCAGCTAAAAACAAAGGCAAAAATTTTTATGTATAAGACAATTTCTCAACTCAGGGCACATAAACAAATACTTCTTCTCTTCACAGAAGTAGATTTATGAATAAAAAATTATAACCTATCAAGGAAATATACTGCCACACAAGAAGGCAGATTAATAAAATGCAATTAGCTGGCATCCCCAAGAATTGTTAGTAATATAGCTACGAAATAAATAAGCTCAAATTAATGAAAAAGCTTAAAAGGGTTTTTTTTAAAAAAAAAAATGATAAAAATACAAGACAATCAGAATTAGCAAAAGAACCAAAGGCAATTACTAGAGATTAAAATACCTGAATGTAAATGAAAAATCTAATGGGCAACAGAAACAATCATTAAATTCAACTGAAGGAAGTATTAATCAATTTAACTTTATATTAAATTGACTTCAAATTATTAATCAATTTAAACCCAAATTAATAGAGCTTGGAAAATTACCCCAAATACAGCATAGGGAAATAGAGAAACAAGAGACAGGGAGGGAAGAGAGAAAAGCTATAATGCTCATGTAATAGTAGTTCCTAGTAGAAGAAATAAGAGAAAGAGGGAGAATCACTATCTGAAGATAAAAATTGTAACTATGATTCATAATTTAAAAACATCATGTATGCCTTAGATTAAAGATGACCAATAAATATCACAGAAGAAAGTAAAAATAGCGTTAAAATCTAGACAACCCCTGCTTTTTATAGAATAATAAAGAAGACAGTCTTAGAGGAAAGAATGAACATAGTTATCAACAAAGAGATGATGATTAGATTGACACAAACAGATGCCAGAGACAATGAAGTATCTTCAAAGTGATAGAAATAATGAAAGCTGATACAAAATTAAGACATCTTCCTGGCTGAAAAACAATGATCAAAGGATGTACAATGATCAAAGGAAGAAGAAAATTAATTCAGAGTAAGCCGTGAGATGCAGTGAACAATGATGATCCATGATACTTGTAAATAAACTTGTTGGCCAATTTAAATAACATTCACAAAGTAATAACAATGATACAATTTTCTGAGGGTTGAAAACAAGAAAAAAAACTAAAATCCTGGGTAAAATACAGAAATATTTGAGCTTTAAAAAGGTTTTCTCCTGATAAATAAAAATGAAGTGGGAGGCATAGCATTCTCTGGCCTCAAAACCTAATAAACAGAGGTAGTAACCAAAACAGAACGGTATTGGGACAATGACAGGCACACAGACCAATGGAACAGAACTGAGAACCCAGGAAGAGACCCAGCTATCTATGGTCAACTGATATTTGACAAAGAAGTCAATCCTATCAAATGGCGAAATGACAACCTCTTAGACAAATGATGCTGTTAAAACCGGACTGCTAATTGCAGAAAGCTGAAACAGAATCTACATCTCACATCATACACAATAATCAACTCAAGAGTGGTCAGAGACCTCGGAGTGAAGCCCAAAACCATAAAGTTCCTAAGACAAACTAAGATCAAGGTTAGGTGGCCTAGACTATTGTAAAAGGATACTGCCAAATACAGACAGAAATTAGCAATCTGGAAAGAATTCAATTGGACCTTCCAAAGATTAAATCCCAGTGTGTATCAAAAACTGTTTCCAAAAGGGTGAAAAACAAAATCTACTGGCTGGGGGAAAAGAAAATTGGCAATACCATTTCTGACAAGGGTCTCATATCAAAAGTTTACAGAATATTACAGGGCCTCCACAAGGAAAAGACCCAGTTACAAAATGGGCTAAAGACATGGAAAGACTGTTCATAAGGAAGATATTCAGATGGCCAGTAGATACACGGAGAAATGCTCAAAATCACTGTCAATAAAAGAGATGCAAATCAAAATCACAATGAGATACCATCTCACTCTAGTAGCGGTGGTAAAATTTAACAGGATAACAAGTAAAAAATGTTATTTAGAGGGTGTAGCAAGATAGAAATTCTTCTATCCTATAATAGCTGGTATTGTAAAATGGTACAACCAGTCTGGAAGACAGTTTGGTGCTTCCTCAGAAAGCTTAACATAGAAATTTCCTTATGATCTAGGTATTCCACTGCTTAGAATATTGTTGTTTTTGTTGTTTATCATTGAGTTGGAACTGACCCATAGCTGACCCTCTGGTGGTTTTTCAGAGGCAGTTAATCACACGTGAGGAGATATCCTGAGAAAATGAGATCTGAGGCACAGAGATTTATACACCAATGATCATAGCAGTGTTATTCACCATCACAAAAACATGTAAACAGCCCAAATGCCCAACCACAATTAAATGCATTGAGAAATTATGGTACATTCACATGATGGAATAGTACACAGCACGCAGGAGCAATGATTTTGTAAATGACTACCTAACTTGGGAAAACCTGGAGAGAATTATGCTGAGTGAACTAACTCAGTCATATATGGACAAATACTGTTTAAGACCACTATTGCCGAAATAACTAGTAAGTAGTTATATAAAATAACTAGTAAATAGTTACATAAAACTAGAAATAACTAGTAAAACTCATATGAGGATCAAGTTGCAGTGGGGAACCAGAGGGGTGAGAATAGAATAGGAAAGCATGGTAATCATAGACCACATAATTCGATGGGTGGAGGGAGGGGTGAGTTAAGGAAATGGAAAAGATCTGATGTGAAAAACCATTTATACAAACTCTGCAAGTAAATTAGTACAAAATAAAAATTTTTATATTAAAACGTTTCCTTTATACTCAGGAAGAACAGTAATTTTACATTTAAATCAAGGATGCATGTTAAAATGTAAGGATCATCTCTAAAACTAAAGGGGTTGTTGTTGAATAGAAACCAACCCATAGGTGACCCTCCAGCAGAGGCCTTAAATTGCCCATCTTTCTTCTATGGAGCAGATGGTGGATTTGAACCACATACCCTTCTGTTGGAAGTGCAATTCCTTACCACTAAGCCACCAGATGAGATGGACTGATAGAGTGACTGGGTGTGTCAGAGACAGTAAAGTGGGCACAGGATAGAGCAGGTTTCAGGGTTGTTGTACCCTGGTCGTTAGGAGTCGCAAGCAACTCAACGGCACATAACAACAACATACCACCAGAGCTCCCAAATCTAAACAAATATAATATTTATTTATTTCGTAATAATTTAAAATTTAATAATTTTTTTAAGTTCATTGGTGACTAAAGAACAATGATATAAAAAGCAACATGTGGGAGGTAGGGGGAAGCAGGTACACATTTGGATTAAGAAAGAAGTGAGAACTAAAGGGGCTGGAGACAGCGCTCAGAAGACGCACTCTGAGTACAATAGTGGGTCAGTTGGGTTGTGAGGGTGAAGGGTCCTTGCCTTTCTGAGACGTGTGCTTCTCCACTTCTCCTTTGTAATCAAAGCCAACTGCTGACTAGAAAGAAAAGGAGAGGAAATTGGTTAAAGAGTCAGGGTCAACAGTTTCTCCTCCCTGCTTTACTCTTCTTCTCAGCTGGGCCCCAGAGCTTCATGGTGATCTTAAATACTAATATATCTGGTCCTAGAGTCAGCCAGGGGAGCTCTGATTCCTGTGGGTAAGGAGTTGCACTGCCAACCCAAAATCATGTGGTTCAAATCCACCTGCTTCTCCATGCTATAAAGACAGACAATTTCCTCCCCTGAAATTTGCAGTCTCTGAAAACTGGCCAGAAGGTCAGCTATGGGTCCGTTCTGACGCCATGGCACATATCACCACCACCAAGAGTCAGCTAGTGCCCAGATATTCCTGCTGGTTTTCTATTCTACCAAAATCCATGTAGCTGTGTCCTCATTTATTTCTGTGACTAGGGTTCTGGAAGTAAGTCAAAGCTTTGCATTTTAAAAACTAATCACTATGTGTTTCTTAATTTACATTTTTCACATTGTGTAGATAATTCAGTTTGTGGAACCTAGAGCATAAAATGTGACAATGAGATCAGACACGAGGGGTCAAGATGAAACATTACACTCTGCTCATACAGAACACTGCCTTTGTTGTGTGCTAAGAAGTCATTTCTAATCATAGCGATCCTACAAGACAGAAGAACTGTTCCAGAGTCCCCCAGGCTGTAATCTCTACAGCACTCTGGTGCCACAGTGCATACTCCATCAGGCTGCTAATAGAAAGGCCAGCCGTTCAAGCCCACCAACCAGTCTCTCCTTGGATATAACAAGCATTCTAATCCCAGGAAGACTTACAGCTTGAGAGACCTAGTGGAGGGTGATTATGAGTTGTAGCCAATCTGATGCCAGTGGATAATCTTTACAGAAATAGTTCACCAGGTCTGTTCTTCACAGAACATCTGGCGGGTTTGAATTGTTAACCTTTCAAGTGGCAGCCAAGTACTTAATCAGTTGTTGTTGTGTGCCATAGAGTCAGAACTGATCCATAGCTGACCCTCCAGCATGTTTTCAGAAGCAGTTAATCAAACGGAGGGGAGAGGCGGGGTTTCCCATCCTTCTCCCACAGAGCAGCTGGTGGATTCCAATCACTTGCCTTCAGGATTCAGCTTCTTGCCTCTAGGCCACCCGAGCTCCCTACTTAATCAGAAGTGCTTTTAAAATTACCTTTCTCTCCTTTCCTTTTCTTTACAGGCAGTGCCGAGGCTAAGTACCAGATTAGTCCCTGAGTGGATCTTTAAGTCTAAATTGTAGGTCAATTTTGGAAGACATGCATGCAGTTCTTATGTTGTCTTATTGCAGTAAAAGAGAAAGGGGAAAGATGCTATTCTGCTCCTCTACCCCATTAAAATGTGGTCAAAGATCTGATCCAAGACGGCTGAGAACTGAAATTAGTGTCAGTGTTACTCTCTTATAATCCTGTAACCTTACTGGCATTTTTGTCTTTAACATTGTTTTTGTTTTATAAGAAAAATGTCCTTAAAGCCTTCACACTTTAGAAATAATATCAAATCTTATGAAAATAAGTACAATATATTATAACTAAACACATTACAATCCTAACTAGTTGTTTACCTTGATGATGTGTATCTTGTTGTAGTAGTTGAGTGTTGTTAAGTACTACTCATAGCAACCCTATCTACGAACAATAGACTTGAACCCCACCTTATTCTGTGCCATCCTCATAATTTCAAACATATTCGAGCCCCTTGTGGCAGTCACTGTGTCAATCTGTCTGGTTGAGGGTCTTCCTCTCTTTCACTGACCCTCTGCCTTTCCATGCATGATGTCCTTCTCCAAAGAATAGCCTCTCCTAAAATCATGTCCACCGTATGTGAGCTAAAGCTTTGTCATCTTTGCCTCCAAGCAGCACTCTGATAACAATATTTAAACTGACACCTTTGTTTTCCTAGAAGGCACATATTTATATCCATTGTCACTGAGTCAATTCCAATTCATATTGTTTTTGTTATGTCCTGTCTAATTGAAACCAACTCACAGCTGACCCTCCACAGGTTTTCAAGGCAGTAACTCGCTAAATAGGAGACAGTCCATCTTTCTTTTTTTTTTTTTTCCCTTGGGGCCTTCCGGGAAAACCCGGAAGACCTGCTAGACAAATTCAAAAAGAGCTGTAACCATCTTTCTCTCACATAGAAGCTAGAGGATTCAAACCATGTGCAATCCACCAAAGCTCCCTGACTAACTCATCGTGACCTGTAATTGGGCTCCCAGGGTTATTAATCTATGAAAGGAAATTACTTCCTCTTTCAGAGAAAAAGGTGGATTTGACCCATTGGCCTTATTTAGCTGTCCAACACAAGTGTATGGACTATATTGCTATGGCTCCTTAGATAATATATTAGGTAATGTATTAGGCTAAAAGAAGAGCTTTGGAAGTCTTCTCTTCTCTCTTCAACATTCAGATATAATTAGAAACTTAATATTTAAGAGATTCCTTATTTAAACAGAGTGTGAGAGTCATCATCCTCTTCAAATTAATGTCTTTTACCTCAGTATGTGACCTCCAACTCAGATAAGGAACTTGCTGAGGGAAGTCATACAGGTTAACACCCACTGAGCTGTTCCCCTACAAGCACGTGAGTCTACATTCAAGGGTGAGTGTTGGCAAACCCAATGTGATCTGAAGTGGGCAGCATAGGGAAAGTGCTGCTACTTACCTTGTCCGCCCTATCTCTCTCAACGCCGTACTTGCCCCCAAAGCCTCTGGCAGCATCAGTCTGAGAAGAGTGCTTCCCCACCTCAGCAACGTACTCATGACCCACGGCACTCTAAGAAAATCAAGAACAGAGTGATAAAAATAGACACACGCACACTCAAATAGATAGAATGACAGAGTTGAACGTAAGAATATAAGAAATTCCAGTCTGAGGTAGAGTCATCGTCTCCATTGGTTGATGCCAAGGAGTTTGACGGGAAGAGCATGGTGAGTCTTCCGGATCCTCACACATCTCGCATGCTTCTTAAATAGGAATCTATAATTCAAAATAGAGACTAGATGGATGAAGTGATATTCAAACCAGGTAATAATAATAATAAACTTAAGCAATATCTTTGTCAAAATATAGATGATGTATGTATGAGGACGTATCAGTCAGGGTTGACTCGAAGAGCTGGAATTGCATTTTACAAAAACAGTCTGCTATTTTTGTTCTGAATCTTTTTGTCCTATTCATCTATCAGCACTCAGAAGTTCATTGGTGCCCTGATATTTAGTTGTCACTGACTCTTTAAACTGAAGGAGGCTGGTAGACAATAATAGAAGTGACCCAAGATGGCAAGTAACTTGATCCCTCCCACTCTCTACTCCACCCACTTTTTTTTCCTTTTTAATTGATACAGATTTTCTCTTAATATTTAAGTATGGACATGTGAATAATCTTATAATTAAGTAATAATTCTAATATAAAGTCAATCTTAGAATTAAATAATAATTCTAAGATTAAGTCAAACCAAATAGTAGAAAGCTTCTCTTTCCTTCTATATTCTCAATCCTATGCTGGGGTGAAAAAAAAAATCAGCACAAAGCTTGATAAGCATCTCTATCCCATATGTCCCATATAATTTCTTGGAAATGAATTTTATAAATTTTCTGCACTTGAGCAAAGCAATTTCACTTTACATGTTGAATGTAAATTTAGAGTTGACTGCGACTAACAGCAACCCTATGAACAATAGCTCTGAACCCTGTTCTAAATCCTTATAATCTAACTTTCTCCAACATATCCATCCCTATTACCCCTGTGACTGTGTCAATCCATCTTATCGAGGGTCTTTCTCTTCTACACTGACCCTCCCAAGTATGGCGTCCTTCTCCAAGGACTGGTCCCTCTTGGCAACATGGCCACAGTTTGTGAGATGGAGTCTCAGAAGTTTTGCCTCTAAGGAGCAACCTCGTTTCACCCTCTCCAGGAGAGATCTGTTTGTTCTCTTGGCAGTCCGTATATTCAATACTCTTTTCCAGCATAACAACTTAAAGGCATCGATTCTTCTTCTGTGGTCCTGAGTTATTATCCAACTCTCTGATGCGTAGCAAGTAATTGTGAAGACCATGGCCTGGATCAGGTACACATTAGTCTCTAGATTGACATTGTTGCTCTTCAGCACTCTGAAGAAGTCCCTGATGGCCAACATTACCAATGCAGTTTGTCTTCTGATTTCCTGGCTGCTGGTGTCATGAGTGTTGATTGTGGATCAGGGTAAGATAAAATTGTTAACAATCCTAATCTCTTCTCCATCTATGATGCTGCCAATTGGCCCAGTGGTCAGAATCTTTGTCTTCTTGATGCCAAACTTCAATCCATATCCAAAGCTGTAGTCCTTGACATTCTACAATCAATGCTTCAGGTCCTCCTCAGTTTCAGCAAGCAAGGCTGTAGCTTCTGCATAATGCAGGCTGTCGATGAATCTTCCTCCAATCCTGATGCCACAGTCGTCTACATAAAGTCCAATCTCCTGAATGATCTATTCTGCACAGAGGTTGAAAAGGTATGGAGATAGGACGCACCTGACACAATATGAAGTTGTTGGAACCGACCCATTTCTGACGCTCCAGCAGCTTTTCAGAGGCAGTAAATCATGCAGGAAGAGAATGCTCATCCTTCCGCTGTGGAGTAGCTGGAAATTTTGAATCTCATGCCTTTTGGATTGCAGCACAGCCTCTTACCATTAGGCCAAATTGGGAAGCATCTAATGGAAAAGTTCCCACTGAAAAAGTTCCCATATTTCTCATACCATGGATACTATAAACATCTCTCAAAAGATAGAATATTTTTAAAGGAACACTGGCTACCTAATAATCATAGAAGTTTCAGAAAACATAAAAATCATCAAAAAGCAGAAAACTTGTTTCAAACATAATCTCTCTTCATCCACTTGTGCTCTCTCTCTTACCAATATAAAAGTATAGCTGGGACTACAATAGACCAATCCTTTTAAATATGCAGATGCTCTGTTGTAGAACCCAAACAAATACTCTAGTTTTGAGTTAGTTTTAAGCATCAAACGAACAATTTGTTCAGTGTACTTTTTTTAAAAACAATTTTTATTCCTTTCAACACACCTTGTCCATGCGGTCTCTTTCTACCCCGAACCGGCCTCCGTAGCCGTGAGATGCCTTGGGCCCTGATTCCATCTCTTTCTTCTTGAGAACATCATGCTCCTCTGATACTTTGTTCCTCAGCTGGTGGATGCTGAAAGTAACCACATGACAGATTTCACATAGCCCATGGAGATCAGCACACCAGCCTTCTCAAGAAAGAAAAAGAAATCTTGAGGTTTGTTTAGGTTTCAGTAATAATGCGCCTCCAAAATGGATGAGTCATGGATTTGGCAGTAAAAGATCAGTATGGTTTGATACATAATATGGTTTGATTTAAACTCTCCATAAGCCAATATTACTCCCATTGGTTTGATATTTTGCTCACCAAAGTAACTTTCTGATCTTTGGGAGAAATGTGGGATCAAGATTGGTGGAAGATCTAGCAACAACCTGCGTTATGCAGATGACACAACCCTGCTCGCTGAAACTAAGGAGGACTGAAGTGCTTGCTGCAGAGGGTCAAGGACTGCAACCTCCAATACGGATTGAGCCTCAATGTCAAGAAGACAAAGATTCTCACCACTGGACCAACTGGCATCATCAGGATGGATGGTGAAGAGATTGAGATTGTTCACAGCTTTAGTTTGCTTGGTTCCACAGTCAACACTCTTGGCACCATTAGCCAGGGAATTAAAAGACATATTGCCACGGGAAAGTCTGTTGTTAGGGACCTCTCCAAAGTACTGAAGAGCAAGGGTGTCTCTATGGAGACTAAAACTAAGGTGAGTCTGATATAGGCCATGGTTTTTGCAATCACTTGTTATGCATCAGAGAGTTGGACAATGACTAAGGAGGATAGAAGGAGAATTGATGCCTTTGAGCTGTGGTGCTGGATAAGAGTATTGAGAGTACCATGGACTGCTAGGAAAACAAACAGATTCATCCTGGAAAGGGTTAAACCGAGCGGCTTCTTGGAGGCAAGGATTCTGAGGGTCCATCTATACTTAGGACATGTTGTAAGGAGAGACCTGTCCTTGGAGAGGGACATCATGCTTGGTAGGGTGGAGGGACACTGCAGGAGGGGAAGGCATGTGGTTCTAATCCACCAGCTTCTCCTTAAGAGAAATATGGGCTATTTCTTTCTACTTAGCCTTTTGAAAAACCCACTAGAGAGTCAACTCTGAGTGGAGTCCAACTTGACAGTACAAACAACACCACCACTCTTATAGTGTGAATCTGTGCAATGCAAATAACTTTAAATAGGTTGTTATTAAAATATGTTCTTCTCCAAGTCAGAGTACAGCCCCTTACTGCTAGGCCACCAGTTGTTGTTGTTGTGGATTGCCTTTGAGTTAAGTATGACTCATAGAGATCCTATGAACAAAAGACCGGAAGCCCCTCTACAACCATCGACATTTTAAATATGATAAAGCTTAATTGCATACAGAGAGCTCTGGCGGAGTGGTCTGTAATAGACTGTGCCACTTTGCTGTGCGGCTCTGACAGTTTGAATTCTCAGAGAGAGCTGGGCCTTTACGTCTTGTTTACAGTCTCGGAAACCTATTTGCATTTTATCTGTATAAGTTAGTAAAAATTAGAAAATAATCCAGGTGGATAATAACTGGGAGACTCCTTAATTTTCAGTACTTTTCAATGGCATATTAGGAAAGCCATTAAAGATAACAGGTATCAGACAACAGACCATGAGGAACATTATCTACAGATGAATATTTTGTAAATTTTCTTGTCATGGAGTAGCTATCTCTCTCCAAAAGGTCTGTTAATTCCTGAGAGAAATAACAAAAACAATGTCCTAAAAATGTCACCCTTATCATCAAGACTCACATAACCTTGACCTAGGACAGCTCTACCCCTAAGAGAAAGGAGCCCCGTCGTACAAAAGGTTAAGTGCTAGGCTGCTGCTTCCCCAGAGATAACCAGGAACCCTGTGAGCCAAATCTACTGTCACATAGGGTCACGGTGAGTCCAGATTTCCTAGATCACGTGTAACAACAGCCACAACTCGTAAGAAAAAAGAAACCAAAAGCAATCCTCCTCTTCTTATGTCATGCTCACTTCCAACTTCACCATGAAAATGAAAATGAACTGCAGCACTGGAGTGTCGAGAGCGCTACTGTGGTAGGCTAGTTTGGCCGGAGGGTTTGGGGTCATGAAGGCCAGCACCAACTCCAACAAATGGTAGTAAGTCATGACACTCAGACACATAGAAGGGTCCCTGGGGACTCTTAGAAATATTTGGGAAAGGAAATCGAAATAAATATGTAACTTTCTGTAGTAAGCCATGAAAGTCAAGAGTATTGAAAAAGTGATGTCACAGAGACTCCATCTATAATAACTAGCTGGGAAAACTAGACACCGGGGTTACAGTGGAATGGCCATCTTGCAGCCAAAAGTCTCTTTAATGAAAGAGGAGACCGTCTGATGGCTTTGTGTGATGATCCTCTTAATAGCCTTTAAAAACACCTCCGTTTTCACAGGAGTGGGAGCTTTAGCCATGGTTAATTTTAGAAAGCTGGCTTGAAGCCAGATGAAATGTAGCTGTGTGCTGGAAGAACTCTCTGTTACCATGCCTGCTCTAAACCCTCTGGCCTCGGTGAAAGCAGAGATCCTTGTGTTGCAAGTTCATCAACACCATCCATTTAGAACCACAGTTAAGGTCAAAAAGAGCTGTCATTTCCAAGAACACATAAATGACTATCTGACATTCTCCAGCTCAAGTATACTGAGGAAGAGGAAAATGAGGCCAGATATTAACTTTAGAAAAAAAGAGGCACAAAACTTTAATAAGCCCAGTGATTAGTACATAGCTCATAACTATGTCATATTTGGAAGTAGTTTTTTAAAATCCACTAGAAATGTCTAACTAATAGCCAATGGTCTAGTGCCAGGTCAGTCGGGGGATCAAGCTAATAGATATTGTAACTGGAATGGAAATGTTGAGACTTGGAATAGACTCACTTCTTACCTACTTCTTAAGCTATAGCTGAGGTCACTTTAAATGGGTACTAGTTATAGCATTTCCTCATTCAGGAAATATCAATTGAGTAATTTTGGGGTATACCACATACTGTTGTTAGCTCTGAGGATCCAAAGATAATAAATGTAGAGAGATAGTAGTCAAGTGGAATAAATAGGAAAACAAGCTAAAAGTGACAGGCCTCAGAAATTTTGACATTTTAAGATACTTGTTTTAAGTTTTAAAACACCTTGGAAATTTTTTGGGTTTGGTGATGGGAAATTTGGTAATAGTAATGGGTCGTGATTGTAACACATGAGAAATGTAAATGACATCACTAAAAGTACACTTGGAAAATGATGTATTTACAAACTTGTCTTGTTCATACTTTTACAACAGTAATAAAATATCTTGGACTTTACAAAGAAGCAGTTCCTTAAAGTTTTATATGTTGTTGTTGTTGTTATGTGCCGTCGAGTC